CCTCTCTTTATTCAGGCTTCCTCATTAAAGTTAATGCCATTTTAAAACTCTTGCAGGTCTGGAGTACTTCTGAATCAAACTTACTGAAAGCTCTACCTTTCCCAGGCTTTCAGTTGGCATTTTCATGAAACAACCCAACTGGCAACTGGTTTATATTTATGATGGTTGCTGTGCCCCAAGGTCATGTGATCCTTTTTTGCAACCTTTTGACAAATTAAGTCAATGGGGAAGCCAGAGTCACTTAACAACCGGGTTTCTAATTTGTCAACTGCAGTAATTCACTTAAGAACCATGGCAACAAAGGTCATAATACAGGGCAAAACTTGCATATTAAATGTCTCATTTGATAGAAATTTTGGGCTCAGTTGCGATCGTAAGAGCACTACCTGTACTAGTGTACAACCCACGAGGATTAATATTAATATTAAGGATTAAATATTAATATTTAGCTCACAAGAGGCTTGGATCTGGGCATCTCCATCTCTGGATGGAGGCCACAATCGGTCCAGTTCTACTGGATCTCTTGTCCTCATAAAAAAGAGCCAGCTGATGATCAACCTTTCCTTTCCAAAATGGAAACGCGAGCCCCTATTTTCCAGACTTTCAGAAACGCTAAAGCCTCAACAAAGACAGGGGCAACGGGCCCCGATTGACTGTCCAAGCATCTTCCAAGTCGCGTAACTTCTCGAGGCCAGCAGCCTCCCACACGCGGCTTCAGACTAAGCAAGAAGAGCCGTTCGAGAATCCGGAAAGCCGCTTTGTTACTAAACCGTATCTGACTCCCTGCCTCGGTTTCCCTTCAAGCCCCCCTCTATCTCCCCACCCCCCGGTTATAAACCGCGTATTCTCCAGGGACCTCGCATTCTCCGGGCCTAAGGAAACGGTTCCAAAGGAAACGGCTTTCGAAGAAAAGTTAGACTGGTGAAAGCTGATCGCCGAGGGAGATCGTTTCGTTCCCTGTTCAGTAGCCAGTATCATTATTCCGATATGCCAGAGGTTCAGCAATGAACAAGCTGGCAATGGTTAACCGAGAGAACGATGCAAATCTGCATGGGGAGAAGGAACTGGCTCGAGCAAGGCGTAGTTCCTCCTCCTCGTCTCCCTCCCTTTCTCCAGCTTTTTTTGGTACTAAGGCACGGGAACTACATTTCCAACAAAGCAAATCCTTACCTGCCCGCAGGAAGCATATTTTGTGAAGCAGGGCGGTGTATGTGTGTGATTGTGTGCCTGCACTCGCACTTAAAAAAAGGCCCGATACAAACCGCGGTGGGTTGGAGACAAAACTCGGCGCTGAAATCCTCCGTCTCTCCCCTCCCACCCAGGAAATTCAACACCATCCAGGCAAAAGATCCCAGCGCCACAGCAACGAATCGCTTTCTCGGCCCGAAATTTGCAACGTCAGAGGTGAAGCCTGAAAGCAATTCCGAGGCTCTCGCTGCGCCTTCGGAGCTTCTCCCAGGAGGGTTGGAAACAGCTGGTAAACGGTCCCCCAAGCCAAGCTGTTGCTGTAGTAATTTATGAAAACACGGCACCTGATTGCTTTCTCTTGCTTGTTTAAGCTTCATTCCGGTTGTAATCTATCCACAATGTACAACATGGGAGGATCGGGCAATCACAGTCTGTTAAAATATTGGTCCTCAGAGGTCTATTAAGGCTTCGCTTGTTGAATAACAAAGCTGTCTCTCCGTTTCTGGTTTGGTGTCTCATCGCTACCAGCAGAGAGGAGGCGAGTCCAAAGGTTGGGGCTGCCTTCTATTGAGAATTGTATCCGTCTGTGCCCCGTTGAACGAACAAAATGCCCCTGAATGGGAGAAAGAGACCCTTTAATTTGCTGCTGGGGCTTCCAGGGAAAGCGGAAGTAGCAGCCGAGATATTTTACATTTCAAAAGAAATGCAGCACTTAATAAACCTCAGAGCAGCCTTCCAAAATTATCAGGCACTGATGAGAGAAAGCGGGAAAGTTCCTTTCTCTTTGCATTTTAAAAGTTTGCTTAACTAAATGGTGAAAGAGGGAGGAAGGTCCCTTTCTGGGTGGAGAACACACCAAACAATTCTTGTCAGGTTCCAAAAAAGAAAAAATGCTGAACCTTTTATGGCACATAGGTTTTAAAACACAAAGTACAGAATACAAAAAACAGCTTGCTACAGTGTGGGGACTAACCTTATATTAAGTTGTTTCATCATTAGGCCCAGCCATAGAATAAACCTTGGCATAGCTCAGGCCTCCTCACTGTGCATTATTGAAAGTCCATAGATAAGCCTGATAGTCTTTCCTATGGAAGTGTGCTAACATACTGTAATTAAATTATAACCAGTTCTAAAATAGTATATATCTCTTCCCTGAATTGCATTCTTTTATTTCTCTTAAAATAAACATGATTTGTTTTTCTAAACCTAAAGGAGAAATGTAACAGTCTCCTTCCATCTCTGCTGTCAGAAGAGACCAGTACTAAATTGTACTAGATCAGTGTTTCTCAGTCTTGGCAACTTTAAGATGTGTGGATTTAACTCCCAGAAATGCTGGCTGCAGAATTCTTGGAGTTGAAATCTACACAGAGAAAAGTTTCCAAAGTTGAGAAACACTGAATTAGATTCTTTTGAGCTTTCTTAGCTTTATCATTAAGCAATCTTAATACATGTCAAAAGCTAACATTTTTACATACATTAATACAGTAGTACCTTGGTACTCAATTGCTTTGAAAGTCATCAAATTTGGTACTCAATGCATTCTGACCCAAAACTTTTGTCCTGGTTCTCATTGTTTGTTTGGTACTCAACACACAAGAACTTGTCAGTGTTGGCAGTCTTGTGGCTCACTACATTATCTCTTATGAGAAAAATTTGTTTGGTATTCAGTTTTTGGTCCTCATCACACCTCCCAGAGCCAATTAACAATGAGTATTGAGGTATCAATGTAGTTCATTTCTATATGTATCTATTTGGAGTAATACACCGGGGATTATTCCCTGGTTAGTAAGAATAAAATCACAGCTTTACACAAATACATTACATCTTTGAGGCCTTCAACTGGTCACTGAAAAATGAATAAGAAATGTAGTATACACAACAATGAGAAAACCATGTATACTTTAGTGATATATAATTCAATAATTGTAAATGGCATTCTTATACAGCAAATGATTTTTTTTAAAGCTAGTTTCATTTCACATCATTACATTTATTGTTCATCTATTCATTTCATTATTTATGCAGTTGTTCTTATAACACAGATACTATTGCTACCAAAATATTACATTCCAAAACTATTAGTGCCTTATTCTCAACTTTTTAAAGACCCCCTCACCTTGCACAGCAACCTTTCTGATCATTATCACAACTGCAATACTGGCCAGTTATAAAGTTTCCAGTAAACATAGATGAAAAAAGTCAGAGAATATCTGCTGACAATTTCCCCATTCCTTCTCCCTTATTTCCTTTCTCTATTGCTAGTTCTGCATCAGAAGAGACTGTTATATGACTGCCATGCTAATTATTGGGTTTGGCTTTGCACTACAGAGAGTATTACATGGTGCCTGAGAGTTTAAGCTTATTTTGACAAACATTAGAAATAGTTTTCAGCGTAATTTATTATAAATGAAAAACACATCTTAAATTTCAGAAGATACAAGAACAATCTGAAAGAGTAGTGAGGAGCCAGCTGAGGCCAAGAGACATGTGTACATGTTTATATTGTGTTGTCTTACTTGAAATTGGAAACTAGCTGAACAAATATTGCAAAATATAATGTATGAGATATTCTTCCTAAAAAGTATTATACTGTTCCTGGAGAGATTTAGTGCAGTAGGTTTGCTATTAGAAATGAAGTGATCTATTAAGTGTCAACTAGAATAGTTCCAAGTGAAAGAACTTGTCTCAACAATGTTTAAGTGCCCTATTGGAGAAAATATTGAGGTTACAGATGTGAAATAAACCTACTTTGGATAAAAAATATCCCATTCCTAGTCTTTTTCCTAAATGTTCATTTGATGTGAAGTTACCACAAGTTACTGGTTTCTAAGTTTCTTCATTATTCCACTAAAAACGAAATGAAATTATTCTTTCCATAGCCAAAGATAACATTGCAATTGTACATTACGAAATATGTAAAAGTGCAACGGGCATCTCCGGAAGATACAAATTTTATCAGCAATGATAATTTTATAAACTTTCATCAAAGAGAATTGATAAAAGAAACATTCCATAGGTTGCTGTTAAAAGGAATAGAAACAAGCACAAATCTGTCTTTAAGGAGTCCCCATATTATGTACTCATTGCTACCTAAAAGTCATGAATGTTTTTACAGAGGTATTAGAAATTACAATAAAAAGTTATCATCTCTGATTTATTCTCCCTGTTCAAAGACAAGTTCCCATAAAAATATTTGCTATCAATAAAACAACAATAACATACAATTAAAATTATTGGTTTTATTTTGTTTTTAAAATAACTTAACCTCAGTTCTTAGCAACTACATGTGACTGCTTCCCATATAACATTGAGGTCTGCAATCACTACCACATAGGGTTTAGTTTTCTAGTGTGAAATAAAAATGGTGAAAAGATTTACATTTGGAAAATCCTAAGAAGAAGCTGTATATTTCCTGGGATCAAATAGAGGCTCTAAGTATATTGCTTGTTCATTCCCGGTATTCTAAAAGTGTTAAATATTATCTTTGAAGATTGCCAAATTAATATTTGAAGGATTACTGCATTTCAATCACAGTTGTGATATGCTGGAATTACAGAAAAAACTCAAGGCAAGATTGGAGCTCTCCTGTTCAGTATAGGAAATAAGTTTCCCTTTTATTTCATATGTTTCTGAGCAGTCCAGTGGTTTGTCAAAATTCCCACTGTGTGTTAGTAGCATGATGGATCTGGGCAGGGAGGAGGGAAAGGGCAGGGCTTAACTTGTGGCCTAGAGGTGGAGCTCTCACCTCACAATCAGGAGGTTATGAGTTTGATCCCAGGTAGAGGCAAATGTAGGGTCTCCTGCTTAGGCAGTGGGTTGGACTAGGTGAACTGCAAAGTCCCTCCCAACTCTGTTAATGCACCTGTTAAAACTTGCTTTTATTCCTTCTGTCTCTTCCCATCCAGAATTTACTATGTTCTATTATGAGTTTTGGAGACCTTGATTTCCTGGCCTTTCAAATATCCAGTATCAGAGACTGGCATGCCTGTAAAAAGAAAGGAAGGACTTCTTGGAGTACTCACAAAAGAACAACGAGTTTTCAACCTTAACTAGTTTTATTTTGAGGCAACTGTGTTTTGTGGAGCTCCAAGCTATATGTATTAGGACAATGTGTTCTGACCAGGTTTTCCACAAGTGTTTTGCTTCCAATGGTCATATTCTTTTTCTCTTTCTGGTTCATGAAGTTCCATAAGTGCAAAGCATAGGAATGATTGAACTCTGGCTTTGTGTTCCATACTTCATAATACTTTGTCCATATTTGATAAGGAATGGGATAGAAACGTTGAGGGTGCAAAAAGGAAACGTTGTAACATATGTGGTCTTCCACATTCTCAAAATTTCTAAGATTGCATTTCTTCTGTAGTATTCTTGTAAATAAGTAAGGTCCCTGATTTCCCCAGATGTCTCCATTGTAATTCTGAACAAAATCGTTCATGCAATCCCAGATGAACCAATGATGATGCTGAAAACCAAAGACCCCATTGCTGGAGAATTGGGAAGACTGAGCTGCCAAAAAATTAGCCACTGGGATAGGTTTGATGGAAATAACATCAGTGTCCATATAAATTCCACCATATTTCCACACTACTGCCAGTCTGATTGCATCAGAAATAACATAGGCCCAATATTTCTCCTTTGTTGCATTGACCTGAAAAAAACCAAAATTGATACATAAGCAAGAAATAACAACTAGCTAAGATAAAGCAATATTTTTGTACTTGCAGTGAAGAAATTATATCCATATCGTACAACTTGCCTAAGATGTTACAGATTCAAATTCTGGATGTATATATAGGCTTTGTCCCTGAGATTCTGCTTAATCAAGATGTTGCAGGATGTGTGTGTGTGTGTGTGTGTGTGTGTGTGTGTATGTGTATCAGTGGTGGGTTTCAAATTTTTTTAGAACCTCTTCTGTAGGTGTGGCCTGCTTTGTGGGAGTGGATTGCCGGCCATGTGACTGAGTGGGAGTGGCTTGGCAGTCATGTGACTGGGAGGGCATGGCCAACTTGTAAAATGTGGTGAAACTCACTTAACAATGCTCTTGCTTAGCAACTAAAATGTTGGCTCAGAAACTCTGGCATTTGAAGTACGCAAGTCTTAAAGCTGTCAAGTTACAAGACCCTTGCACCCATAACCCTTTAGAAAAGAAGAACCCCAGGGGTGTTCAAACTTGAGAGCTTTAAAACTTTAAGGTTTAGATAGGACTCTTAGAGGCGGGCGAGATGGTTGGTGAGCCAGCCAATCGGTGAGCGGTGGGGGGGCAAGCGTGGTCCGGATGGGCGGGGGTGGGAACTGGAACCAGTTCTAAATGGCATGGTAGATTTGTAGAACCTCTTCTATAGAAGAGGTTAAAACTGCCAGGAACCCACCCCTGATGTGTATGTACATTCCCACATATACATATATGCACACATACACACACAGAAATGTGTGTATTTGTGCTAACCAAAGTATGTTTTTTTAAAAATATATAATGAATCCACTAATATAAGTTATACCGTAATATTCTTTGAAAGCTTTAAGCAACAAAACATATTGTCATCAGTACATAAATACTGCTGCAACTTGTTCAGAATGCAAGTCTTACTAACTTAAAGGCAATATTCTACATAGGGTGAAAACTATGCCCAAATAAAGATATATTAAGCAAAAGTTTAAAAGCTTCACAAAAAAATGTTCATATTATTCTTTTAATGTCCATAGCAAGATATAGCATAATGTTTAAAAAGTTACTTCATCCTTAGTGTGGGTAGCTTTTTCCAAGCACATGTAAAATATCTCAAACCCAATTGTTAGCTCCTTACAAATGAGTCAGAAATTACATCATGCTTAAGCCTCTTTCCTAAAAACCTGCATATCTGCTGCGGTATAGATTAATAGCCTGATCTAGTGATGAGCTTTGTTCTTAGAGAATATTTTTTCAAAGGATGGAGAGCCAATGTGGTTATTTCCTGATATGTTGTATTAATTTTGCAGAGTTCAGGCAACCTCTTAACTTTATTTTTTTTACTCTTTAACAGACCATTGAAGATCAAGTAAAATCCTTTCCATTTAACATTTATGTTTGGGAAAGTATTCTGAATCAAGATTAACCTTTTTTTTTTTCTCTTTAAGAGTAGTCTCACAGTCATTCCTGGAAGTGCTATGGATAAGCTAGAGTCTTAGAGAATCATCCCACCGTACTGTACCATGAGTACAAGGTACACTTAATGTTAAAGAAAACAGAAAAATTCTTGTAGCACATTATAGTAAATTGTGAGTAGTATTCTTTTTGCTATGGTCTACACTAGGAGAGAAACTTCTGTATATGCATGTGTGTGCGTGTGTGCGTGTGTGTATTCTCTTCTGGTGAGTACTTAAGATTGCTAGCAAAATGTATAATATAGAATATAAAGAATTAAAGGCATAGAACACAATTAAGACTCCATAAGTAGTAAAATCATGTGACAGTTGAAAAACTAAGGAAGAGATGTTCACAGATCTCTAAGTACTGAGTGAATGGGGCTGGAGTCAAACACAAGTCCCAAAGGCAAGGTTTTTTTTCCTGATAGATGCAAGAGCAATAACAGAGTCAACAGAACAGGTCAACTGGAATTAACGTTGTTATTTTTTCTGGCTATTCAGAAAAAACACTCCCACTTCCCATCTTACCTGAAGATGCCATGACAATAGAGGTGTGTCTTGGAATAAAATGTCCTCCTGAAGAGGAAAAAGGAAAACGTTCTTCATAGTTGATAAGAAGAAAAGTGAGGGGTAAGAAGACTTTACATCCTGCAATGTGTTGTTGTTCAGTCCTTTCATCAAGAAAATGATGGGTCTGTCTGGATAAATTCTGGCAGCAGATTCCACAGAACATAATACGAGTGGAGAAGGTTGCAGATGATCAGTTGTCTCCAGAAAGATGATACTTCTGCCCTGGGACATGACATCATTGGGCCTCAGGAAATGTTTGGGAATTGGATTGCAGAAAAAGAAGCAATCTGGTTCTTGGGACAGTTCATAAACTATTCCAAATGCAAATAGAAAGGCGACACACAAGAACAACTGAATTTCTTTCATCTTGTTCACTGCTTCTTAGGCTTTTGACATGAGTGAAAACAACATGTTTTAGTCAGGCATTTTCTACTACCACAACAACAACTGCATACACAAAAACTACTTTCCTGTTGCTACTAAAAATTTTCAGCTATCCTTCATCTAGGCTGAAAGTATAAATCTTTATAGGTGTTACACAATGATATAAGAATCTGTGTTAAGAACACTTTTGAGTAGAACTAAGCTGATTTCTTCTAGGAAACATTTCCCTGGGGAAAACTCTAATCATTCCTTTATGGGCTTTCTACAAATGGAAGATAAACATATACTCTCCACCTCAAAACGCATTAAGAATTATGTAGTGTAAGCTATTAACCAGCCCACCAACCCGCCTACTGCCATCCTTTCAGGAACAATGCTATTATACAATCTCTTAATAGCAGAAGATCCAACAACAACACATACCTAATTATATTTATTTAGGGGGAAAGTCTAGCTTTTTTTTCAGCTGGGTTTATTTCCAGATAAATATGTATTACACAGCAGCCTGAATCGTGAGAATGCTCATTTTTTCCTCGACATCACCACTGTATATCTCCACCCATGCCTAAGTCTGTGAAAATAATTCTGTAAATTTTAGAAGGAGTGTAACAGATATGTTCCAGAATGCAGCAGCTTTATATACAACATGCAGAAATAAAAATAAAATCTCATGCTTTGCCAGAAAAATATGGAGATTTCTTTCCCTCAGCCACCTTGTGGTCCTTTGTCTTATAATTGCTGTAGATACAGTATTGCTGATGAGGATACTGTTTTTCTGTTAAATATCAACATATATTTTAAATTCAGTTCCCTGAACATATCTCCTCGGCCAACAGACCTCATGTCAGGCTACAACTCTGTTAGAGCTGTGTTGCTTCTTAGCTCTATTGGAATATTGATGGAGATTTGAAGCGATGGGAATGACTGAACTACTCTAGTGGAGCAACACTAGAGGTGGATGAAAAATCCATGACATTGCTTCATAAAGATCCCAAGATTGAATATATTTAAAATTTTTAACTTAGAAAATCCTGGTTTTTTTTTGGGTGGGGTGGGGTGTTGAACATCCCAATTTTCCAAACAATAACTAATGTTTGTCAGATTACCTGATTTTGTGGCTATATTCTGATGAAATCAGTAGATGCCTGCAATGATTTAACTCCGTTGTCTCAACAGGAGGTTCCAGGAAGATGCAGCAGTTGGATGTCTTCTTAATATCCAGAGTATTCATGTTGTTGCTTAATATTAGTTTCCATGTGACTGATAGAAATTAAAAATTGGTATCCTCTGACTTCTGGTACCTTGGAATATCAACTGGTTTTGAGCAGTAATTCTGTCTTTCCCATAGCTTTCATATTTTACATTAGAAAGATGATCATGAGAGAGCAGGTATTTTTCTTCCAAAATTTCTTTAGGAATACATATTTTAAAAAACCCTTCCTCTTGTAGACTTTCCTGAGTAAAATATTGGTTCCAGTGATGTCTGCTTAATAAATATTATCCATCTGTCTTTCCGTTTTCCTTTTGAAATGAGAACCTGGACTTGTAATGCTTTACTGAAAAGCGTTGGAATCATCTCAATGCTGCACTTGTGCAAAAAGGCTGCAAACACTTAAGTGAAATGAATAATTAATGTTCTTTTTTCCCCCACCAAGGCTTAGCTCTGGAAAAAGTGAGGAATGTATTATAAACATCCCTGAGGACTAACTTCGCAGATTAATCACCTGTTTTATCCACAACTGAAGGAACTGAAAAGACATTTTGATTCTCCATTGTATAAATATAGGGGTTTGCTTATTTATTTAAACAATGTTGAGGTTTGTAAATATATCTAAATTTCCTAATTCTTTGGAATGTTCAAATGCAAAGGCAAAGAACATAAATTTGTATCTGAAGAAAAAGGAAGACAAACAAGTTACTGCTGGATGGGATTTCAATGAGAAACAAAAAGAGATACTGGCAGTTAAACTAAAGAAGGAAGATATTAAAATACTTATTAAACACAAGATGGCTAGGGGAAAAGGGATGTAATTAATTTCCAAGAAGATATATTAATGAAAAGGATCAAAGAAATAAAAACATCAAGGAATATTCAGGGTGCTTGATTTCTTGTTTAGTAGTAATGGCAAAAGGTGCCATCTAGATTTATTTAAATATAGGGTTAAGTAAAAAATTTGGGCAATCAAATTTCTGATGATGTGGTTAAACCTTTGAACTGACTTTTTGAATTTAATTGAAAAGTCAAAGTGAAACATCAAATTGAATGCTTCTGATTCTTTTCTAATCATTTTGATGCTTCTGTATAAAAATTGAAATTTCCCAAAAAAACTATTAGGAAAAATACTTAAGAATTTATTTTGAATATCTGGATTGGATTAACTTTCAGATTTGATTCAATTTTTGAATTAAATTAATAAATCAAATAAATTTTGCCTGACAACTCAGGCATGTTACTTAATACAGTTGTTTTTATTTTGTTCAATTTCAGAAAGTTCAAGTGAAAACAAAGCCATATGCATTATTAGATAATATTTATATACCTATATTCATATAAACTAAACTGTAATATGATGCATATTTTCTTGGGAGATAGTCCAACTGGAGTCATTGGGATTTATAGTATTTAAATAAAAGCATGCAGTTTCAAACTGTGAGTTTGAAGGTGCTATGCTAATTGTCCTAATGCACTAAATTAATGCACAGAAAACTCTAGAGGTTTTTAGAAAGATTTTTAATTTATGCAACGGATATCTCATGATTTATTGATTTAAACATTATTGGAATGAATACAACTGATCTAACATCTATCTTGCCCACTGTGCTTAAAAGAATATACATTTCCAAATAAAGACTTACCTGTTTTGAAGAGTACAGCAGATAGTGCTAGATTGACACTGAAACAGCCCATACAGTGAAAATTATTTATAAAACTTACATTAGATTTGAATAAACGTAAGCTTGAACGTCAATTTACAGGACCTTTGATATCTTCAATATCACTCCAACTCCTAACTTTTAGAAGTGATGTTTGTACAGTACTTGCTGTGAGATAAAAAGAGGAAACAAAAGACTTTTTGAAATTACTAGTTGAGAAGCAATACAGCAGCTGATATAGCTATACCAGGTATATAAGAATTTGCTAGTAGAAAAGAATAGGTAAAACTTCAGAGTGTGAATGAGACACTACTAGAAGAAAAGATGTGTATCCAAAATAGAAAAGAGATAATATAATGCAATAGCCCACCCCTCATAGTTTAAAACGATTGCTTAAAACCATCAAGAAGAGATCAGATTCTTGTACCCAATCCTCTTTTGGATTATTTTTATTTTGCACTCCTTCCCACAAATTGTAAGCCGCCCTGAGTCCCCTCAGGGAAAAGGGCGGCCTATAAATGACAAATAAAACTAAAAAATTTTTTTTTCTTGAGCAGATATTCTTTAATGTTCTAAAGAACAATATTGGGCTCAGAAAGAGATGTGGGAGAGGATCCAATCCTGGTGCCTACCAGATTTGTTAGACTGCAACTAGTTTGGAAAAAAAACTCCAAAGGGATACTAATAAAATGGTGTGCTGAATTTGAAAGATGTATTTAGACTTGCATACCTAACTCCTAAGGGAAGCAGTGGCTCAGTGGCCAAGACGCTGAGCTTGTTGATCAGAAAGATCAGTAGTTCAGTGGTTTGAATCTCTAGCGTTGCATAACGGAGTGAGCTCTCGTTACTTGTCCCAGCTTCTGCCAATCTAGCAGTTCGAAAGCATGTAAAATGCAAGCAGAAAAATAGGAACCACTTAGCTGGGAAGGTAACAGCATTCCGTGCGCCTTCAGCATTTAGTCATGCTGTTCACATGACCATGGAGATGTCTTTGGACAGCACTGGCTCTTCAGCTTTGAAATGGAGATGAGCACCACCCCCTAGAGTCAGGAACGATAGCACATATGTGCGAGGGGAAGCTTTACCTTCACCTAACTCCTAACTCTCCTAGGTTCCTAGGAAAACAATTTCAAGGCTAGGCACAATTTCTTTTCCTCTGTATTTCTGTAGAGCAGGCATTCTAAAATTTTATTAGCCAAGTGTAACTGCACATGTGGATTTTGACAGATAGAAGCCATTCTCAAGTGCAACTATAGTGTAATTTTAATATAGGGATATTCATAAAAATTACATGTTACCCCTGCTGCATCAATACCCTGGAAGAATGAATAATTACTATATGGACCTCCTGCTCTCAAATATGTGTTTATCTGTTACCTGAACACTAGCAAAATACTGTGTTGTGATAGTGAAAATGAGGCAAAAGTCTAAACAAGGCAGTTTTACTTTTTTTAAATTATGCTTTAATGCAATTTCTTGATCATTGATCAAAATTAATTGAATCCAGATAAGGATGTTATTCAAACATAACCAGACAACTGGAACAGAGAGTCCAAGCCTTCCCCTTGTGAAAATCAAATGGGGAGAGTAGAAAATGTACCCTGTCTTTCAATTCCTACAATTGTAAAATGTGCGATTGCATCAAGTAATTTCAACTTGGTTAATCAAAGGCAGCTTTGTATAAAGAAGATTGAAATATCAACTGACACAGTCAGCTAAAGCATTGGTTCTATTTGATAAGAATGCTTCAGTTCACAGTGTACCACAGTGTTCTTTATATTTTATCTTTGCTTTGATGCCAATAAAATAATCAAGTACCTATATTTTCAGAACGTTATTATCTTCAACCATTATTTATAACAAACAGAATAATATAAATAGGAAGTCACTATTATCAAATAGTTCCTATCAAAATGTTGTAGTCTAGAATGTTCCTATCAGGAATTTGAGCAGCCAGGTGTGTTCTCTTCCCAATCACATTATGTTACAATTATTTTTCTTAACAAAACTCCAAATACTTCGACCATTAACTATGTTCAGCTTTTGTTCATTTTCTCAGCCCATAGATCCACCCATTACAGATTTTAATTGTTTTAATGTACAAAAATGTAGATTTTTATCTGCCTATTAATGTCCTCTATTTTAGCTACGTAAGGACATTATGTTGGCATTTGAAAAAGAGCTTCCTTTTAATGCCAAGAATAAGTCACCCCAAGCATGAATTATTTAATATAAATATATGAAAGGGGTTTAAATGTGTCTTTTGTAGAGAAAAGTTTCAGGCAACCCATTCACTCATGAGTTCCATGTTTAGTAGCACATATATGCTGGTATGCAAGTAAGTCTATTGAAAATAATATAATTGATTGAGATCCAAAAATACAAGGTAGTTGCCCTTGTCCTTTTATTAAGGAAGGCCCTGCATCTCTGAATTTTGTTTCAGGTAGAGCAGAGAAGAAGAAAAGGAAACAAGGAAGAGAGGTAAGGCCCATTTCCC